GGCGGAATGTGGGGTGAGGGGGTGGGTGGTGTCCAGGGCCAACGGGAACGGCGGGATTTGAGGAGTTTTTTTATGGTTCTCTTGTTTAAGGATACTGCAAGAAGCTGTGACAGGGGAGAGGGAACGTGGGATGAAGGGGCAGATCCTGGCCAGTGAGAATGGGGGAGATTTGAGCAGTTTTTATGGTTCTCTCAGTTTAGGAGACAGTGAGAACTGTGACAGCGGATCAGCAGTTTATTCCTACATGGATCTCGGGGCCTCCATGCTCACGGGTTTGAAAAGAAACCTCCTCCAGCCAGGACTCAAGCACAGCTTCACATTCTGTGGAGCTTTTTCCCCTTCTTCCATATAAATCCTGAGGTTCTGAAGCATTGAGAACTGGGGCTGGCTTAGGTGTTGTCTGCAGGATCTCCTGGAAGCCCTGCCTGGCTTTGCAGGGAGCTGCTCCGTGAGCCACGGGGGAGAGAACCTGTCAGAGGAGTGTGGGCACACTTGGGCTGGGCTCAAAAGAGTTGTTCCAGCAGCAGAACAAGCAGCTTCCAGTCGTGTGGAAGGCCGGGATACCCAGCTATCCTGGGACCGTGCTCGGGTGGGCTCAGCCTCAGGCTGAGGATTGAGGGAAGCCTGGGAGCGAACTCACAGCATCACTGGAGCTGAGATGGGTTTGGAGCAGGGATTGAGGAATTTCCAACCTCCTCAGCAGATTGTGGCCTGTTCTATCTCAGTGCAGAGAAGCTCCTGGGACCTGTCGGTGCCAGTGCCAGCACAGAGACCTCGTGCCGTGAACCTTTGAGAAACCCCCAGACGTGGTGACAGTGCCCAAGGGGGCTTCCCACACCAAAACACCCTCTTGCACGTGCAGGGGCACACATGGACCGTGGGCCTGTGACTCCCCAGGCTCAAAATAAGGCACATTCCTGCCGGATTAAACACGGGCTCTGATGACAAAGGAGAAAATTGGCGAGGAGGTCTCTGGGTGGAGGAACCAGTTCGAGGGCAGCCTTGCAACACGAGAGGAGTCTCTGTCAGCGGGGTGAGGGCTCCCTGCTGCTCCAGGGGGTGGTGGTGGGTCAGGGAAGGTCCATGCCATGGCTGCCTGGTTTGGATCCGGGCTGTTTGGCCCCGTGGCCGGTGGCTGTCGGGTTTCACGTCCCGTTTTTGGCAGCGGTCGCCGCCGTGGCGCAAACCCGAGTTCCCCGCGTGAGCCGTGCCCTTGAAGGACGCCCCATCCCAGGGAGCTCTGGGGTCGCAGAGGGTGATGTTTGGTCGTTCCTCACCTGCTTGGGTTGTGGAAGGGACTCCAGCATCCTCAGGGAGGGAGCTGTGCCGTGGCTCCCTCAGGTTACATGGAAACCACAGACCTTGTCCTGGGATAGTCTTTCCCCCCTTCCCGGGCCTTTGGGGTGGGTTGGGGTGAGCCCCGTGTGCTGCAGCAGGTGGCTTTCCCTGGCCTCTGTAGCAGCATCCCTAAAAGCTCCCTGTAGCATGATGAGGAACCCCAAACAAACCTCCAGGGTAGTCACCATCTCCCTTCTCCATCGTGGTCACACCGTCTTTCCCGCCGCTGCCGGTGGGATTTGGGAGCCCCATTCCAGTTGCTCCGGGTGGCACGAGCAGTCACTGCCACCACCAAGGTGTCCTGGTGAAGTTCTCCTTCCCTCTGAAGGGCTGGAAGCAGGGGCAGCTTGGAATGCTGAGCAGATCGAAAATGGGATGAGGAGTAATGGATCCCTTGGGAATGCCTTCAGCCCCCTCCTATGGTTTGCCTCAGCTTGCAGGGAGAATTCCAGCTGAATTCCCCCCCAAACCTGTCTGTCCAGGAGCTGCTGGGCTCTGGGTCACCTTGAGGGAGAGGCTTGGTGTTCCCTCACAGTCCTTACCCTTGGGTGAGACGGCACCACGGACCGTGGGTTTGGGTTTTAAGATCCTCTGCCAAATATTTGGGCCCTGGGCAGGCTCCTGGGAATGAGCTCA